GTCTTGAAAGCCACCGCTAGTAGTTCACCTAATTTGAAGATCTGGGCTACGACTGTGTTCGTCGCCTTCAATGAACAATGAACAATGATTTATCACGGGATAAAAGCAAGTGCTTGACACGTCCCGTAGGATGGTTGAGGTAAATATGATGAAATCAAAATATGTCTGGGTCATCTATCGAACGTCTGCCGAGATGAATACTTTGATAATTAACATCAGTGTAAAATGAAAAAGAAATATCGCACGTAAACGTTCAGAAAGACACTGGGGCGCAGTGATAGTTGAGGTAAGCAGTGAGAAAATAAAATATGGTCGCTCACTTAGGTTCATTTGATACATTAGTCCTGTTGAAAACATGCTTGGCCTAATCCACAACAGAGGAGCTTAGTTAACAAAATGTTGGGAGCTAAGAGCAACATCTAATCGTTTTTTGAAAACATCCAGGGTAGGAGAGGATACTACGGAGTCTGGGAGTGCGTTCCATGGTTTGCAAACCCGAAGGGAAAAGTAATTCCGTCGACACTCTAGACGGCTATATTGTTCCTGCAACTTTAAGCAGTTACCCCTGAGCTGCGTGTTGTGGCTAAGTTTCAGCAAATGGCAGCATACGTGGTTGGGGTCACTCAATATCTGATACGCTAATATGAGATCGCCGCGCAGCCTTCGATAACGTCCGCTGAAAATTCCCAGCAACTTCAGCTTTCGGTGGTAAGAGTGATACCGCAGGCCCTTCACGTTCTTTGTTGCTCTCCGTTGTGGTGCCTCTATCGCTTCTAGGTCGCGTTTCAACCAAGGTTGTCAAGCTTGGATTGCGTACTCAACATGCGGGCGCACGTAGGAATTGAGCATCATTGGGAAGATTGATGGGTCGAATCTCCCGAATGTCCTTCGCAGCATGCCGACGTGCTGGTTGCCTCTTTTGGCAGCTACCTCAGCCTGTTTTGAACAGTTGAGGTCGCTCTGTACGATCACACCAAGATCACGTTCCTGGGAGCTATTCTGCAATTCGTTTGTCCCAAGTATGTAGGTGTAGTTATGTCTATGGCGTAATTGTACTACGCGACATTTGTCTACATTGAACGGTAGAGCGTTTTGAAGCGATCAGTTTGACACTGTGTTAAGATCGTGCTGGAACCGTTCATGGTCATCCGGTCCTCTGATCCTTCGCCATATCTTGATATCATCAGCGAAGAATAGGAAATCGGAAGTAATTGATCTCGCCAAATTGTTAATGAACACCAAGAATAGACGAGATCCAAGAACCGAGCCTTGTGGTACTCCACACGTCACGTCGATTGCATGAGAAAATGATTCTCGGACTCTCACCACTAGCCGTCGTTCTTGTAGAAAATTGCTAATCCAACTCAGGATTAGATCGCCAATGCCGTAGTTCCGAAGCTTCTGAAGGAGAACTCGATAGTCTATACGATCAAACGCTTTTGAAAAGTCAAGGTAGATGACATCGACTCCAACTCCATCATCAACAGCTTCAGTCCAGCTATTACATGCAATTAATAGGTTAGTCTTACACAGTGACAGGCAAATCCGAAACCGGATGCCGCCAACCATTACACGAATGCTTTTGACGAAAGCCATGTTGCTCTGGGACTATTAAATTGTGGCTTTCCAAATATTGCATCAGCGCGTCTGCGACGATTGGTTCCATCACTTTGGATAGTACGGGAAGTAGTGTTATTGGACGGTAGTTAGCAGGATTAGTGCGGCTACCTCCTTTATGGATAGGAGTGATGACCCCTTGCTTCCATACTGGTGGAATACGGTTTTCCTCTAGACATCGCTGATAGAAAACAGCCAGTGGTTCTGCTAAATCACTAGCTACTGCCTGTAGAGCCTTTGGTCGGATGTTATCAGCTCCGGGAGAACTGTGGATACGCAAGGATAACAACTTCTTCAACACAGCCTCCGTAGTGAAAGTGATGTTTTCTAAACCAGATGGTGGAGTATTAGAAATGAGGTGAATGTTTGGGCTGGATTTTTGTTGGAACGTTTGGGAGTAATGAAGCCGTAGGAGATCAGCTGCTTCCGTATGATGGAATGATGGTCATTTTCGGCTTAATATACTCCCTCGGTGATCATAGTGAGCAGTAGTCACTCGTTGTCATTTTCTTACGCAACTAGAATGCGGAAAGATGGGATGGTTTAACCACAAACAACGGTGCTTTCTGTTCGCTCGTTATTTATGTAACCATAGGTTTACATTCCCATGGCGAAACAGGATAGAGAAAGCTTCTATCCTTTTTACTTCTTGATCTGTTTGCTTTTAAGAGCTTCTCTCTTTCCCCCCTGCTACGCTATTGTGCCACTAAAAGTAAGAATCGCCACAGCAACAGACGCACTAAGGTAATCGCTCAGTGTCTGGTTGAATACTGACTCGACAGCTTTGTATAGGATTGCTGTAACTAAGTCGGCTAACCAGAGCCCACCGGACGAAGCACCGATCCTACATTTCATGTCATTGAGACTCACCATTAGAAAACGTATTTTCCGAATTCTGAAACTTTAATTTACAACTACTATTCTATCGTCCATCTCAGTTATAAAAGTCATAGACCGGTGGACAACCCTTTCCGAACGCAGCGGAAGGTGAACCTTGATGGATTACAGCCATTAACTTGCGATCGAAGCGGTTCACTGATTTATTTTGCTGAGTTTTCTTAGAAGAATCTTGGCTTCGAATCCGGTAGGTTTTAAGGAGAACATGCTTTGCCCATTGGTAGACGATATCTAGTGTAAATGTTTGAAGGTTTTTTGCAACCAGCTTCCAAATTAGATAGTCCTCCACATACTGGGAAAAGTAATAGAGGGTTGTTTTGACCTATTGCGTCTCGTCAGCACTGCGCATTTTTCGGATCCATCGGTGTCCGAATGCGTGACCCCTAGTGGCTTGCACCGCCATACTTGCACGTCACCATACCGGATAGCGGCGGTCCGTCATGATTTCCAATCTAACTGCTTTACTAATCAATTTAAATGGAACAAAACCACCCTCTGAATCTTCTACGACTCAACAGCGCTTAACTGCACGACTATTCCGGAATAACCCAGTAGAAGCAAGAAAGTTAACTCCCACTTGTTGCACAAATTACCACTCTAGGTCCCATTAATCACATATAGGTACATCATAAATCTAGCAAAAACGACTTTAGATACTTCAAAGAACTGCTGCGTCATTCGGCGTCGCCAACGAAATTGTTGTGGTGACGATCACCCCACATGTTTTTGCTTCATTTCTCGAACGAAGTCGTGATATCAATTTTATGGGGACATTCGCATGCTCCAAGTCGGTTGTTCTCCATTAGCATCTAGGTGTGACTGTTGCTCTCAAATGTATTTTTCTTTGGTCAACTAGCACAAACCTTATATCTCCTAGTGGTCTTTCTGCTACGCGCGCCACCTCGTCTGAATGCGGCCAGCGTGCATTGCTAATGAGACTAGAATGAGGGAGACGACCGCCAGTCGATGATATCCAATCGATTTATGTGTACGTGGGTTGGTTCACATCTATTTCTGCACATCACAGTGTTTCGTTCCGCACGAATCCACAGTAACACACGAATTTATTCCGCTCGTTTCTTGCAGGACCAACCCGGAAGTCATGCGTGCGGATACTGCGGCCTACGGTTCTACCACGACGATGGCAAACATTGAGTGTCGAAACACTCGGGCCAGTTTCTGTTTCGAAAACCTTCTGCTTGTGTAGAACATTGATCATTTCGTTCAGATTACAACTCTTCCTCACTTCATCGTTGTCCCTCCACACGTTCTTGTCGGCTTTTGTGGAAGCGTTTGAGAAAATGCAGTCAGCCGGGGCCATTTTCATTCAAAATGATGCTGGCATGCATACAGTTTGCTTAACCCGAAAGGGTCACAAACCTGCATTGAAATCCGAAGGTCGCGGATTCGAGCCTGCGTAGCGGACCGGGCTACTCTCACAGTATCTTACCCCATACGCGATGGGTGTTGGTTACGTGGCAGCGAAGCGTCGGTACTGCTTATGGCTTTACATTGTCCATTGCTTGTTCTTTCGATAGCTGACAATGATGAGTTGGTTTCTTTCTCTATTTGCTCATCATTCCCACGTATTTGCAACCGTCCCGGTTCGACTTTGTTTGCATGTTCTGTGTAACACATAGATAGCCAGAATTTCCAACTCCCATCGCGCTATCTCCCTGAGGGAAGACCATCAACGCGAGACAGTATGTCTGCACGCCCTAGTTGTCTGCAGCTTCTCTAATCACCATTATGGTAGAAGCACTTTCTGGCTCCTATCTGCTCCTATCTGCAGTTTGGTGTTACTCGTAAATTTCAGCACCATATTCTCCTGCCATTCGTACTTATCGACTCTAATGAGTGACGTGCAGTAGTTTCTTATGACTTTGTAATCCTGCCATGTGATATCACATGGGCTTAGCAAATGTTGCCTCCAGATTTCATCTCTTCTGTTGATCCTTTTACGTGTTCTGCTCCGAATCCACGTATTGGTCCGGCGCGATGCTCGTAATGGTACAACCTTCGATGCTGATTGTATGACCCAGTTAATTTTGTCTTTCAATTCATTCCACGCGTCATTCGCTGAGCTGTGCGTCTGTAGGTCCCAGTCAACGGTTGCTGCTAAGCTGCGCAGCTTATAATAGTCCGTAATAGTTCGTTGAGTCTCACTTTCTGTAGCAACAATACTGGCATAACATACGTAACCAAATGTTAGGACTGAATGGTCGCTACGGCCCAGTGGAGGATCGTATGCTACTGACTCAACCATCAACTCTTCATTAGTCAGGATTAAGTCCAGGAGTGATGGCTTGTTTGAACCGCGATGTCTGGTTGGTCGATGCACATGGTTATACAAAACTGCCATATCCATAAATTCGAGGAGTTTCGATTTAAATGATGGCCCATTAGGGGACACTGATGCTATTGAAGGAACATTAAAGTCACCCATTATAAGATAGTGAGAGTACTTTTGTGAAACAGCATAGCGGAGGGCGTTTAACAGAATGTTATCGCTGTCTGCTGATGAGTTCGGAGGTCTATAAATAACTGCTAAGAGGCAAGCATCACTCTTCTTCTGTGAAACAACATCTCGACCTGCTAGGTGCAGTCGGCAAAATAGTGCGTCGGGAATAACGAGGGAATTTTCGGTAAGTGCCTCACATTTCAGATAATCTCGATAGTAGAGAGCAACACCGCCCCCGCGAGATGGACGATCATTTCGTATGACTGACATCTCACTGAGTTCAATCTCCGGATCAAGTATGTCGTTTGAGAGCCAAGTTTCAGTGACTGCTATGAGGTCCCAAGTTGTCGTTTCATGTCGGTGGCGCAGCTCCGAGAGCTTAGAGTACAACCCCTGAGTGTTGGTGTAGCAGCATTGTATTTGTTGACGCATCAGGAGCTCGGTTCGCTCTGAGTGACCGGCACAAATAGTGCCGGTCTGCTGAAGTTTTTTGAAACGGTTGTTTGCACAGTTGGCTGGTTTGAGATGGGTACAATTGAGGCTGGCTCATCTGTATCTGAGGTCTGTGCTAATTGAAGAAATGGTCTTAACCGTACTTCTGGTGGCCCAAGTTTCCTTTTGTCATGCCATGCTTGGATTGCCACTGATACCATTTCAGGCGCAGCCAAGGTAACTTTCAAAATTCGTGGCCCGCTACCTTGGTAATTTGTGGAAGCAGTTAGACGGGTGACGTCAAAAGCCACGACATTCTTCATGTCGTATAGTTCTGCGATGTACCGCCATTCTTCGATGTCGTGCTTCTGTCGTTCACTGCTATCGTCATGCTTCAATTCTGGCACACCATGAACCAATACCACTTTCTTCATCTCATTTTGACGTGACGAACTAGGGTTGGATTTATGCTTCTGTCTTTCTGCCCATGGCCTGTCAGGAAAAATGCGGGCACTGACAGAAGAGTTCACTAGCATGTGGCTTGCTAAGAGAACATCTTCCAGGTCACGCGTGTTGCCAAACGTTACTCGCAGTAACCGAGGTTCCCCTAAGTGTGGAGATGATGGATTTCGTGAAAGGCGTGTAAGACTAGTTGGGAGAATTTTCAGTCCGAGTGCGCTGGTTATTTCAGCCCACCGGTTTTGCTCCTCGGCTTGTCTACCTTTTAGCGATTCGCTAGTGGGTTCTGGGACGTTTGAACATATTACTGTCATCGCCTTTTGGTTGCGTAGTAATTGTTTGTTCTGCAGTTCTTTGTGAGCGTAGGTTTGTCGAGTGGGGGTGTCTGGCTTGTCTTCCTTGGACAATACGCCAAGGCTACAGCAAGAATTTTTACGTACAACGCCGCTGGTTGCGATATCTGTAGGGGTCAATTGTTGTTGACCAGCTACTGACGGTGAGCATGCAATTTGTGCGTAACTCTGCATGCTTTGGCGCATTACGTGAGACTTGGGGTACCGTTCAAGCGGCCTGTTTTCACTGCTGTTTTTCACTAACGGTGTTTGCCTTTCGCTGGACTGGGTAGCACTTTTGCTAGAGAGCTTTTGCCTTTTAACAGGTCGGGGATTCGGGCTACGTAATGCACTAATCTGCAACTCGAGTTCTGAAATTTTCCCTCCCAATGCTGCGATCAGTTCCTTTTGGTCTGCAGACGTAATAGTCAATGCTTCACACGTTATCGTTAGTTTTTGAACAATCTTAATTATCGGACTATTTGAACATATGTCACAAAACCACAAGCTATCTGTCGATACGCTGTTAGCATCGTTAAGTGTAATGTTCACATTTGTCGCGTCATATGAATTGGCACAGAACGAACACGTGATTTTCGAGCGGATTTCAGTTCCCTGCTTGTCTGAGCGCCGGTTGACCTTAGCTTTGTTGCTCACTGAATTCCCGGTTGACAAACTTCTCCGGCCCATGGATCAATGGTCGGTATGCACTTTTAGATTGCGCTGATCACCTCGTTTGGGCTGCCTGTTGTCTGCTCCGGTCAGCGGGTTTGGTGGTGGTGCGTCACTAGGCGCACGGGTATGCAAAATCACACAGGCTTTGTACAGTGAAATGCACGTAAAAATATGGTGGTAAGGTGAGATGACAAAAATGCTTGTATCTATGGTATAAACTGGTGCACAGTACTAAGTTATATATTGTCTGACAGTCTTAAAAAAGGTCTGTCGAATGGTATCCCAAGGTACTGATGAAACTCAAATAAGCAAAGTTACTCAAGTTGGCCTTGGTGAATAGACTTCCGAAGACTTAGTTTGTGGTGTAGTAGCGTGTCGTTGGACTTACTTCAAAAATATAGACGCCGTTGGATAGAGCTCAGTGATCCGAATCGATTGAGCGTACTTCCGAACACGTGGCACAAGAATTTGAAGGGATACGTCCAATTAAACACAGAGCACAGGATTACACGATTAGCACGCACACGGCGGTGGCCCCTGTCTAACAGAGTGATCATTATTGGAAGAAGTAAGCGATTTGATGAACAAAAACAACACAAATGCCATTTAGGTCAGCTCCTCTCCATATCAACAAGTCTATCCAACCAAGTGTGCTCTTTCGGGCAGCCCGGAGGCATCAACTGACGCCAAATTCGAAGCGCAGGTTTTCATTCTTGATCAAGTCACCGCTTGCCTTCGCCTCCTCACCGTCCATCCACACCCCCTGCGCGCAAACCACCCACGTCGCGGGAGTACGTTTGCTGGCATTCGCGACACGTAGCCGAGTCATCGGAGCTTGGTGCGTGATCTAATGTTGCTGAGTGTTTCACTCACTCTTCCTGCACCGAACACGCTTATTGTTCACTCGGTGTTCCCACCAGACATGAGCTAATCTGCGAAGGCAGCGATGATCGAACATAACTAACCTCTTTACGTCTGTCGATCTGATGCATCAAGCTTCGCAAACGTACAGCCGGGTTGAGCGTACGACTGCATTATAAACTATGCTTTTCAGAGCGAAAGTGATGCTACGCCGGCGCTGCAGATGGGGGAGATTGGCAAAGGCGCATAGGTTCGTGACGTAATCTTCGGTTCCACGAACGCTAATATAGCTTCCCAGGTACTTGAATCTCTGGACAACTTCTCGCTGATCACCACCAAGGGTCAGCGCAGGAGTGGGTCCCAGCCAATGTTGGAGAAGAATTTTGCATTTCGTGGTAGCAAAGTGAAGCCCAACGCGACTGACAGCCAGTACTACTCTGTCCTGTGCTGGTAGCTGTCGCAGATTAGGGCAATGTCATCAGTGTACTCTCAGTCAAGAAGTCACGCACGCAGAATCAGCTGCACACCTTCCAAGTCGTGGCCAGTAAATGTAGTTTTCATGCGTTCGTCAATGACGCATATAAACCGAAAATTTGATGACAGGCAACCTCGTCTAACACTGATGGAGATATTGACAGGCGATGACAGTTTGCGATAAACCCGGACTATGCGCATGCAGTGCTTTTATGACCTTTACATATGCATTGAGCACACCATTCTTGAGTAGACAGTCCTCAAGTGCACATCAACCCACCGAATCAAAAGCACATTTGATGTCGATGAATAGGACTGCGGTGGATCGCGGTGTTCCCACAACTGACGCAATGTGAAGATGACACTGCATAGAATATTCAGTCACGTTGGCTTGTTTGATGTGATTTTGTAAACAGACAATTTATGTCGATGGCTTTTTTGTTTTTTGTTAGCATCAACCATAACTAATGTGGTTCAAGCTGAACGGGATACCTAATTACCAACACCAAAGGATGAAGCGCAGTAGACCCTAGGGCTTCGTAACGGCGCCACATCTAACATATACTACGGCTAATCTGTATGGTCTCACTCAGCAAAAGAAGATGGGAATCCAGCAACTTTCATGCTGTTTCAATGTTGAATTTATGGTCTTTTCTCACGACAAAATTGACTACCTAGGAATTCCACGCAACTACGCAGTGTGGGGAACAAAGGACGCTGATGAGGCATGCGGAGCGCATGACCTACGCTTCGTAGGCGATTGATATTCCGTATGCCCTCCAGCGTGACACCATTCCGCCTTCTAACAAACACTGGTCGGTATTCCAACCATTTACGAACAATATTTTACAGGTATTTGGGGTTAACAACGGTTAGTCTGCTTATATCCTCAACGCATATTGGACATTTCTCTGATCCAACCAGTAACTCCGGGCTTACAGCAGCTTTATAAATTTGCGTAAGCTGCTGACTGGCATTGTAAGCCGCTGGTGGTTATGGGTTCAAATCCGGACATATCCGAAGGGGGCGCACTACTGATGTCCAATAGGCTACAACTGCTGTTCAATCTTTTTCCGAGCATGTGGAGGACTATCTGATTTGGTAGTTACTGTGATGAACTCTCAATTGATTACATCTATCTTTGCGTTAAAACAAGTGACGGAGGTCTTGAAAGCCACCGCTAGTAGTTCACCTAAGTTGAAAATCTGGGCTACGACTGTGTTCCTCGCCTTCATATTTCACGGAATGATGGTCATTTTCGGCTTAATATACTCCCTTGGTGATCATAGTGAGCAGTAGTCACTCGTTATCCTTTTCTTACGCAACTAGAATGCGGAAAGATGGGATGGTTTAACCACAAACAACGGTGCTTTCTGTTCGCTCGTTATTTATGTAACCATAAGTTTACGTTCCCATGACGAAACAGGATAGAGAAAGCTTCTATCCTTTTTACTTCTTTATCTGTTTGCTTTTAAGAACTTCTCTCTTTCCCCCCTGCTACGCTATTGTGCCACTAAAAGTAAGAATCGCCACAGCAACAGACGCACTAAGGTAATCGCTCAGTGTCTGGTTGAATACTGACTCGACAGCTTTGTATAGGATTGCTGTAACTAAGTCGGCTAAACAGAGCCCACCGGACGAAGCACCGATCCTACATTTCATGTCATTGAGACTCACCATTAGAAAACGTATTTTCCGAATTCTGAAACTTTAATTTACAACTACTATTCTATCGTCCATCTCAGTTATAAAAGTCATAGACCGGTGGACAACCCTTTCCGAACGCAGCGGAAGGTGAACCTTGATGGATTACAGCCATTAACTTGCGATCGAAGCGGTTCACTGATTTATTTTGCTGAGTTTTCTTAGAAGAATCTTGGCTTCGAATCCGGTAGGTTTTAAAGAGAACATGCTTTGCCCATTGGTAGACGATATCTAGTGTAAATGTTTGAAGGTTTTTTGCAACCAGCTTCCAAATTAGATAGTCCTCCACATACTGGGAAAAGTAATAGAGGGTTGTTTTGACCTATTGCGTCTCGTCAGCACTGCGCAGTTCTCGGATCCATCGGTGTCCGAACGCATGACCCCTAGTGGCTTGCACCGCCACACTTGCACGTCACCATACCGGATAGCGGCGGTCCGTCATGATTTCCAATTTAACTGCTTTACTAATCAATTTAAATGGAACAAAACCACCCTCTGAATCTTCTACGATTCAGCAGCGCTTAACTGCACGACTATTCCGGAATAACCCAGTAGAAGCAAGAAAGTCAGCTCTCACTTTTTGCACAAATTACCACTCTAGGTCCCATTAATCACATATAGGTACATCATAAATCTAGCAAAAACGACTTTAGATACCTCAAAGAACTGCTGCGTCATTCGGCGTCGCCAACGAAATTGTTGTGGTGACGATCACCCCTACATGTTTTTTGCTTTATTTCTAGAACAAACTTGTGACATTGATTTTATGGGGACATTCGCATGCTCCAAGTCGGTTGTTCTCCATTAGCATCTAGGTGTGACTGTTGCTCTCAAATGTATTTTTCTTTGGTCAACTAGCACAAACCTTATATCTCCTAGTGGTCTTTCTGCTACGCGCGCCACCTCGTCTGAATGCGGCCAGCGTGCATTGCTAATGAGACTCGAATGAGGGAGACGACCGCCAGTCGATGATATCCAATCGATTTCTGTGTACGTGGGTTGGTTCACATCTATTTCTGCACATCACAGTGTTTCGTTCCGCTCGAATTCACAGTAACACACGCATTTATTCCGCTCGTTTCTTGCAGGACCAACCCGGAAGTCATGCGTGCGGATACTGCGGCCTACGGTTCTACCACGACGATGGCAAACATTGAGTGTCGACGCACTCATGCCAGTTTCTGTTTCGAAAACCTTCTGCTTGTGTAGAACATTGATCATTTCGTTCAGATTACAACTCATCCTCACTTCATTGTTGTTCGTCCACACCTTATTGTCGGCTTTTGTGGAAGCGTTTGAGAAAATTCAGTCAGCCGGGGCCATTTTCATTCAAAATGATGCTGGCATGCATACAGTTTGCTTAACCCGAAAGGGTCACAAACCTGCATTGAAATCCGAAGATCGCGGATTCGAGCCTGCGTAGCGGACCGGGCTACTCTCACAGTATCTTACCCCATACGCGATGGGTGTTGGTTACGTGGCAGCGAAGCGTCAGTACTTCTTATGGCTTTACACTGTCCATTGCATGTTCTTTCGATAGCTGACAATGATGAGTTGGTTTCTTTCTCTATTTGCTCATCATTCCCACGTATTTGCAACCGTCCCGGTTCGACTTTGTTTGCATGTTCTGTGTAACACATAGATAGCCAGAATTTCCAACTCCCATCGCGCTATCTCCCTGAGGGAAGACCATCAACGCGAGACAGTATGTCTGCACGCCCTAGTTGTCTGCAGCTTCTCTAATCACCATTATGGTAGAAGCACTTTCTGGCTCCTATCTGCTCCGATGCCCCACATGAGCGTGCGTTAACACTACAGAATCTTAGTGCTATTTTCTTAAACGCAGCTATTTGTTTTCAAGACGAGCATCTGTGAATGCTTCGATGATTACTGATAGGCCATCATTTGTATGCGATTCGACTACACGATTCTTGTAGTGGATTTACAAGGACTTCGGCCTATACCATAACTAAACGGAACTCTGACGTCATCAACGCTTAACCATATTGTATGAAAAGTATCAGTAGTACGCCGGTACGTAGCACCGACGCTTCGCTGCAGCGCAGCCACCAACAGTCGCACGTGAGCTAACAACACAGCGAGGGTTGCCCAGTGCCATACGCAGGCTAGAGTCCGCGCTTTCGGATTACAAGGTGGGCTTGTGATGCATTAGGCCAGAGGCCGGTAATTTGCATCTGTGCTGTCCGGACCACTCACACTGCCGTCGTAACGCTTGAAAGTCGCTCGATCGTGCAATCTAGAATTGGAGCAGTTTGTCATCATTTTCACTAAACCGGACGCCAAGACACTTGAGTGGGTCCTCTCTCACCTGATCTTCCTTGAGGATAGGTTGATCGTATTGTCAGCATCTTAGTCAAGTTGCTTTAGACTTTCATATGGCACTTTCCTTTTACAACTTTCAGGAAAAATACATTTTAACAGAATACACTGAATTCTAGTATTTCAGCTGTTTACATGCATTCCATGAAACTATCGCGTTGCGTACAAGAAGAAACAGTGTGCAAGACCATTCAGTTCGAAGGGAGATGATCAATAACTTCTCCAAGGTAGGGCGACGCTGGTCGTAAATTCAGTCTGGTTGCACAAATTGGGCTTCAGTCGCCGAATATTTGAAACTATAGCAAGCTGAAGCAAACAGTCATTGCTCTGTTGGCCAATCACTGTGAACGATTCACGACGACTTTGACATAGAGCACAATGGGAGAGGTAAGATTAGGCTTCTGAGGGTCTGGCATATCCAGATTGAATTTAACGAACAACTTTATTAACTTGGTGCAATAACCGATTCAGCGGCGTAATAGCATTTCCCTTCGGTCTGGCGGGGGTGATTCTGGGATCCCTTAAATGGTAGCGTGATGAACACGTTTACTTGGGGACCTCTATCCTACGGTTTTCACTGAGTTCCAACTCACTATCAGCAGTACCTTCAGATCAAATTTCGTGAGCTCTAATGAAGGTGGAGCGGATCAGTGCTCGTTTATGGTTTATAGAATGGAAATTGTTGAAGTTGTGCACTTTCCTGTCCAAGTATGCTTGCGATACACAGATCGACTGAGTGTGCCGTTTGGAGTCTTCTTTTGGTGTACATCTAAGAAGTGCAAGGTTGTATCCAAGTGGCTTTCTATCGTGAATTTTATCACAGGATGGCACTTGTTTCGAACATCATCTAGGTACTCTGTTTACTAAACCATTGCACTTGTTATGGAAAAACCCAGTTTGGCGTGTTCCAAGTGGGCCTCTTGTGTGTACCTCTTCCAGTATACCTGTGGTAGCAAGTATGTTGACCTAACTGAGCGGAAGCTCTTTACTAGGATTTAAGAGCATATTCCACGTAACATGGTCGCCAGTGGTTCCAGTCAGCTCTCTAATGCCGCATATACTACACTGCGCTGCGTGCCAAAATCCTCGTATCCTGCTAAAATGTGGTTATTTCTGGATATTCCAAAATATCAGCTTTGTATGTCTGGATAATTGAATTTCCGGCATCTGCACTACACTTGCGGACGCAACACAGCAGCTTCCGCAAATCGCTAAAGCCGGTGGTTACGCAATACGCAAATCCATTTGTTCGAATCGGCCAGTGATCGTATCAGGTAGGCTACTGGGGCATTAGAAGACCGCCAGCCTCGGTAATATAGAGCTTTGAATTTCTTGTTCACTGAAACTACAGGCAGTTTTGTGGAATCACCAAAAAGTGGCACTTTACCTCCTCGTAAGAAAAATAAGGAAGCATTCCTCAACCTGCGCATGGGCAGTAATATCAGCGAGAGGATTCCTAAGCAAAGTGCTTTGTCTAAATGAATGGAAAAATTGTTTATTCGTGACAACACGTGGCATGATCATGATGAGAGGACAATGAGTGAGAAATGTACAAATATACGTGTTTTTTATAGCAATGATTATATATATATATATATATATATATATATATATATATATATATATATATATGGCGGGAGAGCCTATGGTGCGCTGAGACTGGTGGTGGCTAGATCCTGACAGATAATGTACCCACTGCTGCTACTGTTGCGCCATAGTCTCATGTCCTGGGCGTCTCCTCTTGGCGACCGCTGGGTGGGATTTGGGTTTCGCCCTTCTCCCTGCTAAGATCCAGGACACCAATCCGCATGAGTCAGTGAACTGAGCATGTGCTAGACCCGCTGCCTTTCGGGCGTTCATTTAATCGAAGGCTTTGGCTGAGGACCCGAGTCGTTCTCCTGTCAGATGTGGGCGCCCTGCTAGTATCCTAGTCCATCCTCTTCCGGTAAAACCTAGCCATGGGAGACAACAGATCTATGGGTTATAATGGTTTGCTACTGCCCGACTCAAGTCAGGCAGCCCCTGGTCAAATTGGTGCAAACCCGCCAAAACTCACCTGCGTCTGGCCGTGGTCGCAGGTGTATCCTACTACGATCGCAAAATATATATACATCGTTCCAGTACCTCAAAGGCTGCGTGTGCCGGCCGTCGACCAGATCCCAGTCTGTCTCTGCAATCACATTCCCAAGCTGCATCTGCTCCCCACTGCCTTGTGGGTCAGGCTATTGAGCCAAAGACTCCTGGCGGAGTCCCTCAAGCAAACCTCCAAACCACCCACTGCTTTGTGGGTCAGGCTATTGAGCCAAAGGCTCCGGGCGGAGTCCCTCAAGCAAACCTCCGAAGCACAACGGCCACCTCGCGTGCGATTGCCCGCCAATGCAATCGTATGCCTGCGCGCAAAGCACTCAGCATCGGTGCTGGAACGTGCGCACACTACTGGACCGGAACTCCAGCGAGCGCCCCGAGCGACGCACTGCACTTGTCGCAATGGAGCTGGCGCGCTACAACATCGATATTGCGGCGCTCAGTGAAACTCGTCTCGCTGAGCAAGGTAAGTTGCATGAAGCATGTGCTGGCTACACATTCTACTGGGTGGGTAACGCCGCCTCAGCACCACGTGAACATGGGATCGCATTTGCAATATCCGATCGCCTCCATGGCCAGCGGTCTGAATTGTGAGTGCGCGTTGTCAGCGGAACTCGGTGTGGGAGCTAAGACCATTTATTTTTGCGTTCAGGGTCCGATTCGCGAGAGAGTATAAATCAGCGCAAAGTTGGTCTTGGAGCGCAAAGTTTGGAATGGGCAACGTCTGACATTTACTTACTTAATTAATGTTTCCCGTGCCTGGCCTATCCGCGACGATCTCTGTTTGAATTCTATATTATGAGAGCGGTGCCTGGAGATTGAGAAATATAAAACAATAAAATATAATGTGTCAGCTGTACGTCGTAACGGCGCTTCGCCGTTACGTGACTACCACCAGTCGCGCGTGGGTTGAGTATACCGCGAGAACGCCCGTTCCTACGCGTATTCGAACCAGTGACGTTATGACTTCAAGCCAAGCGTGCAGACCACTCGGCCACTGGCCGCCTGGAGGTTGAGAAGCGATGTCTAATGCAGGACGGAGAAGATGGATCTTGTATTCGAGTTTAGACTTCTCTAATACATTCAGGCTAAGGGCATCTAGATCTCTTGGCTCGCTGCTAGGTTTGTGGAATGACCGTGTATATCGGTTGAGACAAGAGAAGTAGCCCCTACGGAAGAGGCTGGTTGCGACATTTTCGTCATATTTCGTGTTCTAGTCACTGCGGTTCTTCATGTGATGCAGCGTGGGCTTGTGCTTTTGTGATTCTACGAAGTGGGCGGCATGGATAGTCGAGGTGTTAATGGTCCGAAGGTCACATAGGGTAGTGTGAATGAGTATGAAGAGGTCATGAGTTTGACGACGAATGGTTGACGAAGTCTTGTAAACTAGACGACGAATTCATGCCCAGATGATTTCAAATTCGAGTACAGGGGGCTGCATTCCATACACAATGAGTATATGCCTTACTTATGTACTCGGATGTGGCAGGGGAGTCCAACCACGTCAGATTGCTTCTGACGAGGGAACCGGAGTGCAGTGAAAAAGCGGACACCGACCACAACGCTTCCCGAATTGAAGAGTGAGTCAATTGTTGATGGTCCGGATGCTAAGGCTGCAATCGTTTGAAAGGAGTATGTTGATTCCCGCCACATCATAGTTTTTCCTGTGAAGGTCTGATATCGTCTTTGACATTTTGCAATAATGCGGAATAACATCAGCACTTAAACATATTTTCCGGCAGTAACTACCTATCGTAGGCTTGCATGTGCTTCTGTGTGTTTGAGAAACTACGAACATACCTTGGACACACACAATT